AAAATCTCGATGTTCGCAGGTCTCATATGTCGTTTTGTTGATTGTTCCGAGGTGAAATGGGTTGCTCTTTATCATTTCACCATGTGTTCCTTGTCACCCTTTTTGTTTTCTTCTTTAGGCTCTTCCTAAATGCCTTTTTTTGGGAAGACATTTGCCTGCAAGATGCATGCATGCACTAGATTTATGCTTCTTTGTAACTTACCTAGCTCATCCTGCATATTTTTCCTCACAATTCAGTTTACTTTTTTGATCACCTCGGCAAGAACAGAGCTGAGGTACTCAGACCTAAATGTGAACTGGTCTTGGGCAGGGACTAGACTTCTTTCTCGTGCATGCCACCCCCTCAAATACACATTTGCGGTGAGGCCTTCCTCAGGAAGGGAGTAGGAGAAAGCACAGCCTTATTGCAGAGGGGAGAGGAATGACTGGGAGCTGAGGATGTTGAAAATGGAATTCAGCTGAAGGTTTGCTGTCTTGTGTTTTGCTTTAAGACCAAACCAACAGTGCAGACTAAAAGAAATTGGAAACATATAGATACACAGTTTTTGGTGAATTGCAAGCTTCCCTGATTGGTGGGAAAGTGAAGTCACAGTTCAGGAGTATCAGGAAAATTAATCCACAAACACCAGAGGTTTATGTCCAAAAAGGAGACAGAGGAGTCCTTTTACTTTATTTGAATAAAGGGAGAGGTCATGGGGCATTCCCTTGGGGTCTCAAATTTTTGGAGGGCACAGCCTCCTTTTTACCCTAATTTCCTGCTTGTCCCTTTTCTCTTTCCCCATTGGCTGAGGTACTTGAGAGGTACAGAGTGCCCGGAACGTATAATCCCTACTTAATTTGTAGAATTCGTGGTGCTTCCTCAATGCCTCTTTCATCTTTCAATGGAATTCATCTCATTGTTTCTGTTATCTCTCAGTGATAGTTTCATCTTATCAGCAGACCCACAGCTTGTTTGTAAAGACAAACCTGTCATTCCTCTCAGGGGCAAAGTTGGACCAGTCAGTGTAGTGGTTCGTGACAAAACCTCTCTTCTCAGAACAAAGGGACCTAGTCCAGAGGAAAAGTTGTAATACTGGTTAATTGTCTCTGTGCTTTCTGTCATCCTGGTGTGTGCAGGGGACTGTCAACTCTTCCTCTCTTCTGACATCTCTCTTATGTCAGTCTGGTTGCAGAATTGGGTAGGGGATACCACTGGATACCCATTTCTGCTAGCTATTCACCTTCACCCAGGCACCTCACAGCCAGCTTTCCCTGGCACTGGCAATCTTTCTCTGGAAGGCTGGCTGCAGTTCACAGCTTTCTCCATGATAAGGAGGTGGCTCACACTGAAGGTACTCCTCTGTTCTTACAGCAAAGCTCCAGTAGGAAATGTACAGGACTGGTTAAGTCCATGTGCCTGTGTTCTTGCCAGCCAGGTCTGGCCTGGCCCCAGCCAGCTGTGCCACTGCTGGGCTGACCAATCCCACCAGCCTTGAGCAAAGCCCTGAGCTGGTATTTTTATCCTTCGCTAATTTTTTCCAAACTGACAGTGGTCAATTTTGAAGTCCATTTTTGTTTATGGATACTTATTTTTTCCCCCTTTGTGTTTACTGATACTGAATTCCTGTATTTGAGGAGCTTGCAGAATTCTGCATTGTTGCATGTTTTTTAACCTCACTGCTTATCCATTTTGCTAAATTACTATGCATCTGTTGAGCCCAGCACACAACCCTAATTTATTCCCTCTCTTGGTTCATGGAAAAACTATTTTGACTGATGTCTTGCTGAGGCCTGAATGGGTAGGGAAGAGGAGTGGCAGAGAGCAGGGTTAGGAAGCACTCAGTCAAGGTGCACCTTCTGAGTTCAGGTCATGTCCGTGACAACTAGGGAATTCCAGCCTGCAACAGGTTTGTTTTCTCACATGGTAACTTTTTACCTAACCATGTGTTTTCGGTGGGGGAGGGGTGAGCTTTACTGCCTTAGTGCTCCATCCGGTACCCTTCTTTATGCTTGTTGCTCTTACCCTCTGCAGAGCTGTTGGGAAAACCTGCTTGCTTATCAGTTACACCACAAATGCCTTTCCTGGAGAATACATTCCCACCGTGTAAGTAATGGTCTTGGGCTTCAGTTGCTTTTTGATCTGTATGCATGTGCGTGCAAAAGTTGGGTTTGTATGAGAGGAGGTGGCTGTGGCAAATCAGACTGTGAACTTGGCAGGTAAGGATGATGCTGTGGCTGTGTGTGTGAGGAAGGCAGATTGTCCCCACTGTAACTGTGCTGCAGTATCTGTTTCTGATTCACTGCCCCTTTGAATTCCATATAGAGATGTGAAGGTCACTACAAAATTGTCACTGATGGGAACTCCTCATTGGCAGGTTTGATAATTATTCTGCCAATGTGATGGTAGATGGAAAGCCAGTGAACCTGGGCCTCTGGGATACAGCAGGGCAAGAAGACTATGACCGACTGCGTCCTCTTTCCTATCCGCAGACGGTGAGTGCTGGGCTTGGACTGGCTTGTGACTGCTCCCTCTCAGAGAAGGGGAGGCTCCCAAGGACAGGCATGCTTCTTTCCCTTGAGGAAAGTGTGAGTTCCTGCAGCTACACCCATAATTCTAGTTGCTTAAGTATCACAACTGATTTTCTCCTAAGAGATTGTCCTGTTCTAGTCTCTTCTTTGTAATGGTCTTTGAAGAGTTATGGGTGCCTCAGGGAGGTTTAAGTAAAAGGAATGCTGTAGGGCTGCTGTACAGCATAGTCAGTTCCATATTCCCATTCTCTCTCAGCAGGACAGATCCCCATTGGGCTGCCCTAGGAGTGTTTCTGGGTGTAGCAGTTCCTAAGCAGCTGTGCTGGTGGTGAAACCCTTAGCGCTGTTTAGATGTTTGAGCCCTCAGGCGCTTAACATGCAGAGCCAGCATTGTGAAAGATGATGTAATCATGCACTCAGGGTCCTTCCCTTCCCTCTCTGAATTAGTTTAACACCCTTAATGGGGAAGAATTTCTTCAAGCCACAGCAGTCCTTGCTTGTGGGAGAAGATTGTCCTTTCTCAGGCTCCCTCTGCAGCCTCCCTTCACTCTAGCTGTATCTTTCTGCACAGCTGACCCTCTTGTTTCTGCACAGGATGTTTTCTTGATCTGCTTCTCCCTTGTGAGTCCAGCCTCCTTTGAGAATGTCAGAGCTAAGGTAAAGTATTCTCCTCCTGGGTGAAACAGTAGAGGGGAAATAAACAGTGATGCTCCCTGCCCCACCCAGCACCACACCTACAAGCCCAAAACTTCAAGCAGTAATGTTTTGGTGAGGGAAAGTCACAGTCTGCAGGTTTTAAGTGGGGCCTGCTTTTTATTTATGACTTCTTTGGCTAAGTTACTGCCTTTCTGAATCTGTGTTTTAAGATAAGGGATATCTTAGAAGCTAAAATACAGTTAAGGGAAACATTGGGTGCAGAGTTGGCTAGCAATGTCTGTCAGGATTCTATGTCTTGGTGCCTTTATTACTACATCTGCACCAGTCTCTTTTTGCAGAGAACATTAGAACTGTAGGAAGCAGTATCCTGTTCGGGTGTTGCCATCATGAACCTCTTCATTCTCAATAGTAGCAATTCATCCTCATGGTTATGGCCATTCATGTAACTACTTTTCTTATCATGCCTCTCTGTTTCAGTGGTACCCTGAAGTCCGACACCATTGCCCAAATACACCTATTATCCTGGTGGGCACCAAGCTGGACTTGAGGGATGATAAGGACACCATTGAAAGGTTACGTGATAAGAAACTGGCCCCCATCACCTATCCCCAAGGCTTAGCCATGGCTCGGGAGATTGGTGAGTCTCATGAGCAGGCGGATACCGGTGGCACTGAACTTTGTGAGTGGGTGAGGGACAGTGCATGGTGGTGGTACTGGAGTGGTTGAGCTGGAGCTCTCTTTCCCCAGGGTCGGTAAAGTACCTCGAATGCTCTGCCCTGACACAGCGGGGCTTGAAGACGGTGTTTGATGAAGCCATCCGGGCTGTGCTCTGCCCACCACCTGTGAAGAAGCCTGGCAAAAAGTGTACCATGTTTTGAGGGCTGTGGCCTAGGTGTTGGCTCAGCATGCTGTCATCCCTCTGACAGATTGCATATTAAGCTGGGTGTTTCTGAAGGGGGCTGGGATGTGTAGGGCCCTTCATCATGTACGAAGTCAGTGTTTTTTAAATGTCTCTTTGATTTAACGTCAGTGTTGATGTGAAGGGGCAGTGGGGACAGGAGACCAGCTGGGGACTATACAGCCCCCAGGGGAGGTACAGTGGGGAAGGCAAGGTAGCTCCTTCGGGCAACAAGCTGTTTTGGCTCTCCTGAACTCGGAGTGGAAAGGGCTGAGACATCCATCCTGTTCTGGAAACACCTATTTTCAACCTGCAGGTGAACATCCTGGTGGGAGTGGGGAGGGAGCTGATTTCAGTGGTGCTGAAAGACAAGAATACCTGGGAGGGTGGTAGGGCCTCCTTGCCCAGCCTGCTGTGGCTAACAGTTAACAAACTGGTGCTCTAGCAAAATGTTCCTGAGACTGTTAAAGAAATCATGACCAACCCTGGAAGGGGTCAAAGTAAATGAGAAGCTGAAAAATCAATCATTAGGTGCTTTATTGGGTACTAGCCAAACTCTCTGAGTGAAACAGCTCTGTGCAATCAATGCATTTGCCTTTTTGTGTGTGCACACCCTAGGACAGCATGGTGCTGCTCCCCCCCATTAGTATTTAGCAGGGCCTCCCCCCAGAATCCAGTCTCTGCAGAGCAGGGCTGGGGTTATTGCCTCTATATTTTTTTTTTTTTTCCTACTAAAGACAACAAAAGAAGCAATGAGGAGTCTGCTAACTTCTTTCCCTTCCCACTGAAAATGCAGACAGACTGTGGATTTGGATGGAACAGGGAGAGCTTCTGAAGGGTTGTGGGGGGGGGAACAGGGTTGGAAGAAAGGTCCAGTTTCTAATCATCATGTAGAGTGACAAGATAAAACCTTATTTGGTGCAATAAACATTCTCCATGAAGGTGTATGTGAGCTTTATTATATAGCAGCCTTGCAAAGCTGATTTTTCTGCCTCACTTCTAATACAGGCTTCAGCCCTGCTGCCCCTCCAGCAGGAAGTCTGTCATTGTTTTTTATCCAATTTACATCTAGGCGGTATTCATATGAAAATTGAGGACAGGTGTGAAATGCAGGTGTCATCTTAGGAGACAAGGAAGCCCCCATCAATCATCAGTGAGCTGCCAGTTGTCATAGCACTCTTGTCACTCAGCAGGAAGAGAATGCTGTTCACCACATCATCCACCTCTGCAATCAAACACAGAGAACGTCTGATGCCCACCTCAACTTGTACCAGAAAAACAAGCACCTGAAAAGGTCTGCCTTTGACCTCTACAGGTAACAAGTGCTGGAAAGAGTTTCTGTCTTCAAACTGTGCTTGATAAAGTGTCTGGGACAGTGTGGCTGAGAGCTGGACATCAAAATGTCCTTGTGATCAAATGGTGCTTAGGTCACAGCAAACACCCAGTCAGGTTTATGAACAACAGAATTAAGTTAATTTCACTTGTCCCAAGATGAGAAGGCTGTAGAAAAAGAGGAGGGTTGAGTCTCACCCTGTCCTGATCAAATACTGCAGTTCAGCCAAAAGGCATTCATTCAAGAGCTGTCGCTTTGCCCAAAAGTGAGCAACTTCTGGCTATGTCAGTGAGAAGGAAGGCTTGGAGGAAACACGAGAGTGCAGCCTGGAGACATACCTACATCACTGACCTGCAAACTTTCCCAGGGGAATCCGATTAATCATGGCAGCAGATTTCTGAGGGTCACTCCAGTTAATTCTCCCCATGTCAGTCATAACCACGGTGGGGTTCACAGTGTTCACCCTAATCTGGGACCAGGTGCAAAAAACAATTTAAACCCAGCTGCTGTGGTTGTGCTCAGGTTCAGCTTTCACACTTTTCTCTCACAGACTCCTACCTTGTGGGGTCCCAGTTCCATTGCCATTACTTTGCTCAGCATATCCAAAGCACTTTTTGTGGAACCTTTAAGAGAAGGGGAGAAGAGGAAGTACTTAGCTGCATAGCACCTGTTGTGGAACACATAGGTATTTTGCTGCCCAAAACAGGCAGCCAGCAGCTTGGTGACTATGGGTCTCCAGCTGGTCAAAACCGAGAAGGGCACTGCTGAAAGCTGCACACACTTACAATAAACAGCGTGATCCCTCAGCGCACGCTTTGATGCCTGGCTGGAGACATTCACAATAGCCCCTGGCACCCCCTGTGCAATCATCTGCCGAGCAACTATCTGGGAGGGGGGAGGAGAGAAAAAAAAAAAAAAAAGAGGAAGGCCAGAATCCTAACAAGAGAAATCATTATTTCACTCCATAGGAATCTTGCTGGGCTATTGTGGTAGACCAAAGAACAAAAACATCTGGAGGAAGGAAGTCCTTACTGCCTCCTGCTTACAAGAGTCAAAGCAAGAGTGTGAAGGGGTTGTACATGTAGTTTATCTGATTGACTTTGGACTGCAGTGGACACATACCCCTGCTAGGTACCACAATTTAGTCACTACTATTCATGGAGGCAGCTGCAGTGACAATTCTTCCTCACCTGGGAAACATGAAGCACAGCTCCAAAATTCACATCAAGAGACCTACAAATAAATCAAATTTAAGTTACGGAGTGGTTGTAGCCCAGCCCAGGGAGCTGTTTTGGGAGCCAGCAGAGGACAAGTGGCGCTGGTCTCTTGGAAACACCAGTGATACTCTAGGGCATGGACAGAAATGCCAAGTTGTCAGGTGAGCCAGAATGGTCAGGTGGGATCTCAGCAATGAACCAGAACTGTCCATTGGCTGCAAGCCTGGCAGTGTGTGGGGAGGTGAAGGCATGTATCACATACATTTTTCACAGGACTCTGCTCTTATGCAGCCTAATGGAATTCCTCTGTCAAAGATTAAATAGAGCTCTGGGTCTCAGCCAGGGTAGATGACTCTTAGGTCAAGCAAACACTTCACACAGATCTATAAAGCAAAGCTGATGTAAGGTGGGTAGAGGCAGCACTTCTTCTATTTGCCAAAACGTACTTCCTTTGTCTTCCACCTGCCCGTTCTGCAGAATGATCTCAGTAGAATCCATACAGTTTATGTTCTAGTCACAAACCTTTATTGCAGATTCTCAACACCCATTTTTAACATAGGGACACAGCATGACCCATATTCTCAGAAGGATGTGGACTCAAGATAGCCTGTATCCTAAAGCATACTCACAACAAAGCTATGGAGCTTTTCAGAGAAAAAAGATGTCATATTATTGTAGTTAGCAAATTTAATTTCCCACCATGACCATTTTTTACTTCCTTACCTGGCTTTGTGGTCTCTATTTCTGAAATGTCTTAGTGACAACTGCCTTTCAGTTTAACCAAGCTGGAACTAGACTGGAAGCTCTGAGGTTGGATGAGCAGCAAAGCCACTCTCGTGCCAGTGGGATGGCAGGGGCACCCCACCATTCTGGAAGTGAAACTGCATGTTCTGACTACTTAGAAAGTGATGTAAGAGCCAGTGCTTTGGTTCCTTTTGCTGTTTAAGGCATCAAAGGTGATGATGTAAAGAATGAAAAGACAGTGAACAAAAAGGACACAGCAGTAACAATCGACCAATACCGGCATTGCTAAAAGTGTGCATGTCAGCCTATCTGGTGTTTGTATACCAGTTGCTGTCTGCGTTCTTTGCAGCTGCTTCTCCTCTAATAACACCCTTTTCTGGAAAGCTCTGCCGCCGTTTTTTGACGTTCACAGCTTTGAGGTTACTTGGCGGGCATCCTCGGCCCCAGAGCTCCCTCTGGAGCTGCGGCGCCCTGCGGGAGCCGCCGGG